TAGTAATGACAAGCCATTAACGCTAGTTTTTCATATAAATACCCTATACTCTGCTCTAAAAAATTAATATTTTCAATTGTATTAATCATGCCTATACACTTATAATCTAACACTTCAAACATCATGCAAATCAAGACGATTTTTGTCTGTAAATGTGTTGTCGCGGAAACCGAAAATTTTTCTGAAGCAGACGAACGTGAGTATCCTCGGAGCGCTGGACGCGTTTCGGGTGCCTCCTTACCTCGGGCGGATGATCCGGTCGTACTTTAGCGATCGGGTCATCTCTTACGAAAGCGCCGCGAGCCCGAGAATCAGACCTATTACGGGAGGCGTCCCGCAAGGGTCAGTTCTCGGGCCTCTGCTATGGAACATCGCGTACGACGCACACCCTCTTCCGGTGCGAGGCGTGGGCCCAGGAGCGTGACTCTTTGGAGTCTCGATTAGGGTCCACGTTCGTTCCGAGTCGGGTCCATGGTGGACCTGATGTTGAGGAGTCGGGAAGCGTGGAGGCTCGTCCAGGCGTTCGCCGAATCCGTCTTATTAAAGAAGGAGGAAGCGGAACGCCTGAGACAGAGGCAGCCACGCCGCCCGGCACAGGAGGACTTGAGGCGCTGGTTTAAGCCAGTGCTTTAGGTTCTCTTTTTTGTGTAATGTTTTATGTCTTGTGAGTTATTATGGCAGTCCTCCCTGACGGTTCCCACTCTGGGATCCGGTTAACGGGAGGGGGCCACACCACGTTGCGAATCAGTTCTTGATTAATTTCGGGCTGATTCGCAACGTGGTGGTGTGAATTATTAAGACGGCGTGGGCCGCCCTGAAGTGTGAGGCATTACTTCAGGGCGGCCCACAATAATGCCAGTCGTTAAAAAAAAAAAAAAAACGAACGTGAGTTGTTTATTGAACAATTTGGACAGATACAACCACGGGTTCATGAAGACGGGTTTCACTATGATCCATCGGTAGAAGACTATTTGGAGGCAGAAGATGATTATGAATACGAGGAAGAAGAAATTGAAGGCAGTAGTGAGGATTCTGATGGTATGTATGTTAGCATTTAACTTTATAAACAAACTTCTTAACAATGCTGTTTTTATTTTTAGATGATGATTTATCACCAGATCCTGAACGAACCTATTCTGATATTGTCTAGAACTATTACCAAGTGTAATAAACCAAAAATAAAAAGAAAGAAAAGAAAGTTAATTTGATAGATGGATTGTATGGGTAAATAATTAAATAAGATATAAATAAATAGAGGGTTATAGTTGTATTAATTATGTGGTTTTTATTGTTAAATTATAATTAAAATAAAATATCTACGTCTATGATATTTATTATATGATTTACACATTAATTGTTTCTCTTATTAATTATTAATTTTCCTATTTAATTTTTTATTAATGGTTTATTACGCAATAGATTGTTGGAGATTCGAAAACATAGATTACATTGTACTTACCCCTGTGAGCAGAATAAGTGTTAGATTTTCAAAAAAATAATATATAATGAAAGACAAATATATAAGGTTTCAATACAAAAAAAATTATGTTTATTTGTTGATTTTTGAAAAAGTTATGGAAGTTTTAAGAAAAAAAAGTGAAAAAAAACCCAGCACGGGGGTCGCGGCACAGTGGTGACGTGGCATAGTTGGATCAAGTATAATGATATCTGACAGTGATTAAAATCACTATCAAAAAAAAACGCTTCGATGCAAATCTTTAGATAGTGTTTAATTTTAAAAAATAGGTGGATTATTCCAAAAGCAACATGATCTGCTAGTTCGTTATTAATATCCTGATTAAGATAAAGTATGTCGAATGAAAAAGAGATTATTAAAAAATATTATTTCTCATGAAAAAATTGTATTGATCCATACATTTTTTAAAAAGTTATAGCATTTTAAGTAAAAAATGTAAATTATAAAATCGAGAATTTTCACACAAAAATAGCTTTAATTTAAGATATATATATAAAAGTGTCAAACCTTTCGGAACATTTTCAAAAGTTAATTTTTTGCGAAAAAGTTGTCATTTTGAATCCCCCCCTGTGGACTGGTAAAGGATTAAATAATATTCTGTCTGAACTTCTATTCCAAGCTGGTTTTGGTGAACCACTCCTCTCTTGGTTAATTTCATATTTAACTGAAATAAACCAGTGGGTAAATTATTATTATTATTATCATATTAAATCAACGCCAAGTGGCTTTTACAAAATTAACAGACAATAAAAAATTGGACAACAGATAACAACTTAATAGACACATAACTTATACTAACTTAATATTAGAGAGAAAAAAAGACATGGTAAATAATAAATAAAATATACATAGTGTAAATTGTATAAAACAGGATGTGGCACTTCGTACTATAAATGGTTTAATAACATATTTTATTATTTGCATTATACATCATTCTTATAAGTGGAGCATTCCTGGAGAAGATAGTTTTATTGGTGGGGATATAAAAATTACACTGAAGCCTAGTATTGCTAGGAATCCGAAAACATAGTTCTCCAAGAAGCCTGGGAGCATCAACTTGACCTTCGATCAGACGCTGAATAAAAGTGATACCAAAATTATCACGTCTAACAGAAAGAAAAATAAGTCTCAGAGCTTGACTTACTGGCTCGTAATCATGTGGTGGATGAGGAATGTTCATAGATGTGCTTCTGAAGTGATAACCCCCTCCTACGGTGTTCCACAAGGTTCAATCCGATATCCCCTTCTTTTTTCCATTTTTGTAAATGGCGCAAATTCTGTTTTACAGCATGCTAAAATACTCCTTTTTGCAGATGACTTCAAATTGTTTATGCGTGTTAATAATAGTTCCGATGTTATTTTACTTCAAACTGATCTAGATCGCTTAGTTAGTTGGGCTGAATCAATTGGCTTGACTTTTAATACCTCTGAATGTTATAAAATGACTTTTTCACGTATTTCTAATACTATATCTTCAACTTACTATTTTCATAACCATCCTATTTCTTCTGTTCCTTCTATAGTTGGCCTTGGGTTTCGTCTTACTCCTACTTTAAATTTTCGACTTCATATTGAAGAAGTATGTTATAAGGCTCTGAAAACTTTAGGTTTTATTCAGAGAATTTCTCATGAATTTCACCTCTAAAGATCACTAAAAAATCTTTTTTGTTCACTAGTTCGCCCTATCCTTGGTTCGGTTTTATGGGATCCTTACACAGCTACCGACTCTATAATGCTTGAAAGAGTGCAGCGTAAATTTTTACGCTTTGCGGCTCATATCCTTAATATCCCCCATCCACCTCATGACTTAACTCCTATTCAAAATTTCTTACATCTTCCTTCCTTATCTGCTAGAAGACATGACTCTAATATCCGTTTCCTTTCTAAACTCTCAGCTGGCTTGATTGATTCTCCTGTCCTACTGTTCAACTCGCTATATTGCCCCTTCCCTCATTCATCTTCTAATTATATTTTTCATTCCGTTCTTCCACGTTTAATGCGCACTGCAAATAATGACCCTGATTTTTTACAATCTTTTCATTTTTAATGTAGTCATTTAGCCTACATATTTAATATTTAAATTTTTGATTATGTTTAAATTTTTCTTTTTCTCTTTGTCAAGCTTAAGTTTATTAATGTTTCATTTTTAGTTATTAGATAATTTTAAGTTGTCAAGTTAACTGTCTAGTACATATTGTATTTTTTGGGCTATTGCCTGTATAATTTATAATAAATAAATAAATAATTTCTGAATACGTCCAAGGAGAATACCTCATTATCAAACGTCAACCTTATACCCAATACATTTTACCATATTCTTTTTTTGAAAATTCTTAATTTTAATAATTAAATTTTTAATATATTTTCGTTACACTGATTCTGATATAATATTTTTCCTGTAAAACACTTATTGTGCCCGGCGTAGCCGGTTACTCTTACTGGAATCAGAGGTCTACTTACAAGAATGGCTCGTAGGTCCCAGCTAGTCAAGGCCTAGTTAAAAATGAAATCTCAACAAATTTATTTGTAAATTTCACTTTAATTCACTGACTTTCAGGTATTTATAAGGCGTGTAAATCTATCGTACCACAGTAATATATGAATCGGCATCAAGGTAATGAGTAATATTAGCCCATTTATTGTTATTTACATAATGAAAATTTTCTAGGAGAACGCCATAAATAAGAAAAAACTACACCACACTAAAACTGTTATCTAAAATTAGGGATCCCTTGATTTTTTTCAATAAACTATGTTTCTTCACCCAAATTATAAAAAAATTATTTTTAGTTATGTATATAATGAAATAATTAAGAAAACTTTATGATTTGTTTTATTGATTATCCAAACTAGTTATTTACTAATACTAATATAAAAACTACAACATGTATAAAATTTTTGCATCTAAAAATCCGATCAAAATTTATAATATTAATATTGAAGAACCCTTCCGTTTGTATTAGAATATTATAGAAATATCAGGGTGTGATTTTTTTAAATAATAGAACCGCTTAATTTTTATAATAAAAATTAAAAACGGGTCATATTATATATATTTTATAAATGAGAGATTTATTTTCTATATACATTTTTTTTTATCACTAAGAAATTTATTTTAAAATCTCTTATTGTGAAAAGTTATATAATTACAAATATATTTAATTAACGTATACCAGTAGCATAGATAAGGCTGTGCTAAAACGGTTATTGCCTATACTGTGGCTAATTATTATTATTAACAGTATACAGAGTGTGCAGTAAGTAAGGAAACAGGTCAATTTTTATAAACAATAAGAACAATAGAAATCAGTCTCCTTTTTTAATGAATAGTATATAACTTTAGGGCTAATAAGAGTATGTGATAAGGCGAAAATAATGTCATTTCCCCCTCTCTAGCACAAAACCTAGCCACGACACTGATATACATTTCTTATGATGTCGTTACATTAAATGAGAAGCGTTATAGAAAAGTTTTCTAAAATATTTTTTCTGAATTTTCAATTTGGAAATAAAATATGATTTTTAGTAATAATAATATCGTGATTTTAATTAATTTAAAACTTGTAACAATTATGTAAATGAATTTTAGAAAAAAAAAAAAAATTTAAAGATTAATTTTCTTGTGTGTTAGTCTTTATCAAGATTTTTTTATAAAAATTTTGAACTGATCGAACTCTTTCCTTCCACTTTTCAAGTAAAGATAAGCAAACAATAGCTTCATTTTCATTAATCTTTGACTTACTGTTGAGTCGTTTCATTGCATTTTGAAGATTGCTAAGCCAAAATTGTTTTATTAGTTTGGATTCTAAAATATCTATCTTATTTAATAATTTAAAATTGTATTTAAACTTCTCAGTTTGTAATTCATTATTATTTTCTTCATTTACTTGTATTTGTTCAATATACGTTCCACCGACCAACTCAAAATTATCCCAACCATTACACTGCTGAACTTGCTCTTTTTGAGATATATCTCTTTTATTTTTTATGTGCTTCATGATAGGTATTTTTTCATATATCATTTTACATGGTTTATAATTTTGAGACATGGAGTCTTCATAAATTAGATTGAAGAGACCAAATTTAGTTTGTTGGCATTTTTCTATTATCATTTTAGCAAATCCTTTTTCTAGGTCATCGACTACAGACGACAATGAATGTGATTTTAGGGACAATCGAGGATCTGATTTAATTTCTATTAGCCAAGGATTAAAATTCTCATCCAAAATAAACGATGTCTGAAATAATTCAATAGAATTGGGTCTACAGTTTGTCGTGTAGAAACTAGCTGTAACTGAAGTAATTATGGCTTGCCGAATTTTTAGGATTAATGTTAAGTGATCGATTTTTTTGTTTATGTTCACAGCATACAGTTCATGATTTAACCTCTTTAAACTACATAAACGTGTTACACTATTTATTGTTAATTTTGATTTAGGATTAGTAAAATGAGATAAAGACGAAAAATTTGTCAAGGAAAAGTCGTGTAAGCAAAACCTAATGCAGCAGTTTTGATAGAGCCAAATAGTGAAATTATTGTTTAATGTAGATATTATGATCCAAACAATAATGCTAAATTTTGTTTTAATAGCTAATGCTGGTGTCTCAATATATTTTTGCACAACATGATCACAATTATTGGAATTTTCACATGTTGATATTATATCTTCAATTTTGTTCAATAAAATTGGATTTCTATTTGACTGAAATTTTGATTTAACTATCCAAATGTTTTTAAAACCATCAATAACGGTTTGAGGGCTTAATACTGAAATTTTATCTATTAAAACCTCAATGTTGCATTTCAAATCATTCGCAATTTGTTGGTCCTTTTTAGATACAATAAAATTTTTGTTATAATGTGCAACTTTGTAGTAATTTTCAAAAAAATAATTCCATTCAGAATCCTTATAACAGATAGTATCTACTTGATTCCTATCAACAAATATTAATCGACATACCCGTAGAGCAAATTGAACGGATGATAAAGGAACCTTTTAATGATTAGAAAATTGTGAATATATATTAATTTAATTATTATTATGATAAGCTCATTCTTACTTCTCCATTTTCAGTAGATTTATCAATTTGTAATTTAGAGATAAATAGCTTCAATAAAGATACACATGCAGTGATACAATAATCGAGAATAATATGATTTGATACATTTTTAATATCTGTTGAATAAGTTCTCGGATAAAACTTATCAAATTGTCCAGGTATGTTACAAATGTTGGATCTTACAACGGCCATAGAATTGCTACATAACTTAAAAATATTATTATTCCTTGGAAACCTGTTCACTATAGTATCGGGATCGAGTCTAGTCCAGTCAATTTGGTAATTTTCGTCGTCTAACCATAAAAGACCTGCTTCGTATTTGTTCGATACAGCTTTGGCACGTTGTACGTTTTCATGCAATGAATAAAACTGTGTATCTCAAAAAAAAGAAATTTAATTAACTACTTGAACCAGTGGCAATAAAATGAAATGAGTAGATTATAATGCGTGATCCGTTTATCGTAACCTACTCAGTTCTTTACAAAATTAAAATAATTTCAGAAATTTTAAATTATGTTTTTAAGTAATTAAATGTGTTATGATAATTGAAAAAATCTGTATATTCATAAAATCAATAATTTTTTAGTTCTAAAATTTTTTTTTCCCACATTAGTAAATATTTTTATAAAAACATATTGAAATTTAATACAAATATTAACATATTAATTGTATATATTAATATTAATTGGTATTCGTTTAATTTTTTATCAAACAATTCATTACAGTGTAATTTTGTACAAGTTTTGGATTTGAATTTAATTAAAATAAATGAAATAAGTGCAACTAAAAAAGACCTTTACCTTAACAAATTTAATTTGTGGATTCGATAGTAGATATTAAAATTAAATTTTATAGTTCATTTTTTTTTATTTTACTGATATATATTTAAAACATTAAACATTGGAAACGTATTTATTTTCATAGAGTCCACGCTGAACAAACATAACAACTAAGAACTAAAATTTCGTTAATACATTAAACTGAATTTCCTTATTAAAATTAAAAATATGAACTAAATATTATACATTCTTTTTAAATTAAACTTTAACCATCATCTAAGAATTTAAATTATACAGAGTAAAAAGTATAAATTTTAATGTCGTTATTTTAGATAAATAAATATATTTATAGAGTTCACAAACATTTTTTATACTTGTTAATCTCTTTCATATAAAAAAGCATTAGAAAAAAGAGTTAAACTTGAGTTAAAAATTATTTTTTTTCTTGTTGCTTTTAAAGCTGAAAGTTCAAAACTTGTAACGTAATAAAATTATCATGAGTATCAGGTCACAGGTAACTGTTTTCAAACAGTGCGTGTCGTACATCCGTAGGTTCAGTGTTACACATACACACATAATTATTTATTAAATTGATATATATTTCCTACCACCTGTGATTCTCATCCTAAAAAACCATAATAATGAACACACTGTCAAGTACCCTCTCCCATGTGTGAACAAGCTAGCATAAGAAAAAATATGGTTATGTTCAAAAAAGATGCTCTCAATCATCATCATTCGTTTTCTTCACTACTTCTTCTTCATTTGGATCAATGGCATCGTCTCTTCAATATTTTAATCCGTGATGGAGGAGTAAAGTTTTTCAATTTGGCTTGGCCATCATAATGGCATCAACACCAATACATTTTCTTGGTCATTAAACAACGAATTATTATAACATGGTATATTTGTTCCTTTTCTGTTTGTTATATTTTGTTTTGCATATGTAAATTACTTCATTGTGTTATGGGCTATGACTTTTTAGTCATCCTCTTATTTTTTAGTTAATGACTATATGGATTGTAACTATGATGTGAGAGTATGTTATATGGTCAATTTTTCCCGTTCTTTAATTTTTCTTTCTTCACCTTACGTGAGTTGACAGGTTCTCGGGTGTGGTCAGAGTGGACATGGTGAACATCTTAATGGGTCCTCTACACTTGACGTTGGTGACATGTCCATTTTACCCTGACCCATGCGATGGATCTGTCATACCCACGTTACCCTCCTATTCTCTTTGTGTTTTCTTTTGTTGGTACATTATTAAATTAATTATTTGATCCAGTTAATATTTTATATGTCAAGTCGTTCTGAAATGAACTCTTAAATACTGATTATGTGAACATTATGTTTAAACCACATGGGCCATGTGTAATTATACAACTCGCAAAATAGAAAGGCCGTTCTGAAGCCTGTATGTCTGAAGACATTTAGTTTTAATTGCAATAAATCATAATGGTACCGCTATGTGTGCCAAATAATGTATGTAAATAAAAGATAATTTATTGGGCAGGAATCATATTAACTGGATCTGTTTTCATTTACCTGTTTCTGTTATGACTTGTGGTTTCATATTTATTATCTTAGACCTTCTACTCATAGTTTCTTTTGGAATCCTTGACCATCATTTATTTGTTTATAGTATTTTTATTTCACATACTGTTAATTTGATTCAATATATTTTATTTATTAGTATGCTTTAATTGTTCATTAAAATGTTTTGTCATAATAATAAAAAAAAAACAATGAACTTATAATAATTAATAAATTTTAATCATTGTTATCTTAAAGAATTACTATTCTTCATTACCTTTCCCCATAGAATAAGGTACAAAATCCCTGGTGCTCCGGCTTTGCCTCGGCCCAGGGTGGACCCTTCTTGGGGTTCTTGTAAAGTTAGGCTGATATTTATTAGTTTAGCTTACAAACTAAAAGAACTTTTCACATAAATTAGGGCAATTAAAAAGAATATAAACTAAAAGTTTTTACTTTTTTTAAAGAAAGAGTTTTAGTTACTTCTAGTCTTTTCTGGCATTTTCTCTATCCACCCATTATTTAATAGTGATGTTCGTACAGCACTTGGCATTTTACCCAAAATTTTAAAAATTTTCCTCTCCTTTATAACTTGGTCAACTGTTCCAACATTTTGATAATATTTAGTATGAATAATTTTTTTAACAGCGTAATGAGTTTTATTTTCAACTATACGTTTTCTCAACTTTTTTTTAATATCTAAAAAAGACGATTTATCCTTATAAAAGTCAGTTTTATCCAAATTTTTTTCCATTAGATTAATTTTTAAAAATTTATGAGATCCAAATGTTTGTTGTAATTATTTTTTTATTAAAATGTTAGTAACTATAGCAAAACAAAATTAATTATAACTTTTGCATATTTTGTCTACTACTACTAATTTTATACTTTCAGTGATTAAAATATAAACGACGCAAATCATTAGATAGTGTTTACTTTTAAACATTTGTGGATTATTCCAAAAGCTACATGATTCCCTATTTCCTTATTTCTTTATATAAAGTATATTATAATAGCTTTAATTTAAGATATATATAAAAGTGTAGGACTTCTCGGAACACTTTCAAAAGTTAAGTTGAAAAAGTTGTTATTTTAAAACCCATCCTGTGAGCAGGTAAAGAGTCAGAATAATAAAAAAATATGTAATGATAGGTAAAGATATCATGCCATTTTCACCGTGAAGACAAAATAAAGTCCGAAATTTTTATAATAAAGTATATTACATAATCATTAATTTAAGGTATATATAAAAGTGTCAGTATTTCCGGAACACTTTCTAAATTAAATTGAAAAATTTATCATTTCGAATCCTCTTCAACTGGCAGATAGAAATTTATAGAAAAAAAAGTACAAAATGATTGGTAAGTACCATACGTATCTATATAAAATAATTATATTGATTTGGTCATTTTTAAAAAAAGTATATCAGTTTCAAATAAAATAAATTGAAAAAATTTTGAAAATTAGTGATATTTATATTTAAATTTTCTTAGAGATTTCTTCATTTAAGGGAACAAGGGAAATTTTTTCAATTTTTAAGGGTAATCTTCGACTAAACACGATTTGTGATCTTTTGACGTAACGCTGGAAAAATTGGTTTGGTGAGAGTTGAGAAAAAGTGCGTTTATATGTTTTTTTTTGTGTCTGTTACCACTTCTTCTCAGCTCTAATCGAACCGATTTCTTTCAACAATATGTCAAAAGATCAAATCGTATCTAGTCGAAGAAAAAAAAAATTTTCGGACTTTATTTTTTCTTCACGGTGAAAATGGCTACCGTATACTATTTTTGTGCTAAAATTCTCGATTTTATATTTTACATTTTTAACTTTAAAATGCTATAATTTTTTGAAAAATGTATGGATTAATACATTTTTTTTATAAGAAATAATATTTATATACTTCTTTTAGTCAACATACTTTTTTTTTTTAATTTTCATTATTACAGGGGGGTTAAAATCTGAAAAATGCATATAGAAAGTAGAACTTTTTCAACTTAAGTTTTGAAAGTGTTCCGAAAGTTTTACACTTTTATATATATCTTAAATTAAAGCTAATGTATGTACTTTATTATGGAAAAAAAATTTTCAAACTTATTTTGTCGTCACGGTGAAAATAGACAACAAAGTTAATAAAAAAAAAACCCAGCACAGGGGGGTCGCGGCACAGTGGTGACGTGGCATAGTTGGATCAAGTATAATGATATCTGACAGTGATTAAAATCACTATCAAAAAAAAACGCTTCGATGCAAATCTTTAGATAGTGTTTAATTTTAAAAAATTGGTGGATTATTCCAAAAGCTTCATAAACTGCTAGTTCCTTATTAATATCCTGATTAAGA